TTTTTTTTTTACCAATTCAAGTACGCAAGTAGTTTTTTTTATAGACATGAAATGTAAATAAACTAAATTGGGTTTCAATAAACAAAAATATAATTTGGTTTTAGTGGTACATACTGTAGCATATCCTCTTCATGGCTATTCCTTCATCTATCAAAGTCCAGATTTAATCGCAATTTAGAAAAAGCAGACAACAAATGTGTTGAATTGTTTAAGTATCGTTTCATGAAAATTAATGAGATGCAGGTGTTAGGTTTCCAACAAATTCAATTCCATGTTGTGTCAAGGAACTATCAATTCATCTGCCTTACATATGACTTACTGAAAGCATAAATAAATATAATATTTTATGTTATTTTTTTAGATGGTCTTTTGGACTTTTTGTATTGTATTTTATTGTTTTGTTTCAATAAATCCCTAATATCTCTTTACAGATATTTCACTGTGCTTCAAATTAGTGTGTCAATTTAATTCAGTGTGTCAGTGAACTTAAACAGGATATGCACGCTGAGCAGGAACTTTTATTCTGAAAGATCATGATCATGAAGTTTATGTTCAATCACTGAACATTTCCTTCTGCATATCTGGGTCATCATTTCCATTATTATTGTTGACTTACATAAAACTGTGTAACTGCTCCGACCATGGCATCGGGTGTTAACATTTTGCTTCATTTCACCTGAGTTATGAGTCTAAGATTTAGTTTCTAGCTGCAAAAGCAATTTTAATTGTTTCCCCACTTTTACTGTATTTGTTTATTTGAAAATAATGAATCTTCTTGAATGGCCTTGATTGAGGTAGTTTTATGTGATTATTCTTATGTTCTGATGATAAGATGATTTTCAACATTGCAAAAAGTGTTATGAAACAAATTGTTCTTACTTTTCTCCATGCTATAATTTACCAATGGAAGTTTTCTTTCATGTTTTGAATGAAATATAGGTTATTTAATTTTGCCCTTCATTGAGATTATTTCATCCAACGAAGTCTTGCTCGAAGTCTTTGTTCTATAAATTGTCTTGCACTAGGGCTAGGACATTTTGTAGCTTTAGAAAGTTTTCATTCTCTGTTGGTGTTCCTTGATGAACCCCTTGAATTTGAGTATTATTGTTTATTGTTGGAGACATATGTTTCTTCTCTCTGCTGTAATAGATTCAATAGCTGAGTCACCATTCTGTTTGTACATTTCCTCTTGACTTGCATATTCCTGGTCCAGAATAGGTTTCAATTAACGCTTTTATAATCCACCTTAAGGCTTGGCATTCCATTGCAGCGAGGAACATCACGGAGAGGCGGAGAGATGCCTTTCATCGAACAAATCAGAAATGGAAGAGGAAGGAGTGGATGCGGCCATAGCAGTATAGATTTCCCAACTTTTTACTTGCTTCGAGAAGCTTTCAACAACCCTTTCATTTACACAGTGGAAAAAAGAAGAAGAAAATATTATGTTTTTCAAATCTAATAACGGTCCGAAATTTTATCCTTCCATTTGTACAATTTTAGCTACAATCACAATTTTCAGTCGAAAAACAGTCGGTTTAGTACACCCAGTGTGGTTCAGCCTTAGGACGCCAAGTTTAATATATTATTGTTGCCTCAGTAAGATGTCACATGAACGTGAATCTGAGCAGCGATTGGTTACTATTTTGGTTTGGTTTGGGTCATGCGAATCTGATATCGATCCCGGACTGTTTATTAAAATAAAGCTTCCTCATAAAAGATGCGATTTAGATATAAAAGGTGCTATTTGTGAACAAATCGCACCAATGGGAACCAGTCAGATTTCAAGGAACACCAGATATTTATTACATCCAAAATGGATGTAATAAAAACTAATGTCTTGTCTTTCCCCCCCTTTTTTGAATCATTTTAAAGTATGATTTTTTTTTCGGTTTTGAGGTCCTCTTGCAGGGCGCTAAAGTTGATTCACAAAATTAAAGCCGATTCTTTTCTTCGAAATTGCATAAATATTTTCTGCGCGGTAACGTAGAACGGTTAATCATACATGTCTAATGTCGTTATAGAAATCAATTTGGTGTCGATTACATAAAAAGATAGAGGAACGGCGACTTAAGGTTGTACCAAAAATCGTGGCTATTGCCATTTAAGTCACAGCTTATTGTTATTAGCCGCTTTATTTTTCATGTTCTACTGTAGGTTGGGTGCCTTTTAGTCCGTTATCTAATCCGTGCATGCTTTTCTTTGTCAACTAACACTGTTGGTTGAGTAGTAGTAACGTCAAATAAGAAAGTAGAAGAAACGACCGTCTGTATTGGCGGACAAACTCATTTCTGCTTTACTTTAAGAAACATGGGGTTGTATTGATCTAAGCGGCTTGAAATGTATGTTTGGGAGCAATGATACATCGATGCATAATATACATGCAAATGGCCTTGTTAGTTGAGTAATTTTGTTACCGGTATTTGCCGTGACAGAAACGGAAGGATTTTTGATAATGGGGTACATAAGGTCAATAGGCTTTCTAGGAAAACTTGAAATCCGTTGGTCTTTGATAACTTTTTTTTCCGAGAAACGCAGGAAGTTGGTTCAAATGACACGTCGTTAGAATGATTATAAATTTGAAGTCCTCATTCCGGGGTGAACGGAGTTTCTCAGTGTATAAGCAGTCCTTTTAAGTCTACAACAGCAACAACAGCAATTTGAGTTTCAAAATGACTCATTCGCTGTTGGCTTGGGTTGCACGTACTGCCTTCTTCATCGTGATGATCCTTCAGTATATCTCCTTCGCTTCGTATCCAGCACGCTACGAAAATCAAAATGGCTGGTATGCTTTACTTCTTCTCTACATCCCATCCTTGATTCTCTGGTTTCTCGTCGTGTGCAATGAAAAGCTCATCACCTGGGTATTTTCCGTTTGGGGTCTGTACGTATGGCTTGCTTTAGTGCCCATAATTGGAGTAATATTTGGGCGAATCAAAGAAAAAATCGAGAAGGATTTGTTCTTTGGACCAGATGTCTTGACCATGACCCTTTGCCTAACACCGCTCCTTTTGCTGCTGTTGCTTAACACATTTGAAATAGAAAGTAAAGGCAGAGAGCTCGTATTAAAGCTGGCCTTCCAAATAACATTAGATCTCTTCGACGGAATTGAAATGCTGCAAGTTATTCTGGAGGAAAGTGAAGTTAGCATTCCCAGGAGCTTTGAGAACGCTATCATTGCCTTCGTCTGCATAAGTTTTATGCTTTCGCATTTTCAATTGGAGGAGAACAGGTTTTTGGACACGTCTATTTACAAGTACTTAGCCGTCATTCGTATCACCCTTCAGATTTTACTCGGTAATTGTGTGTTTTTAGGCCTTCGTTTGGCTCTGTTCTTTAAGTTCAAGAGAAATGCGTCAATTTTCATCGCCAAGAATGGCATTTTGATCATTCATGGGATTTTGGAGATCTTTCAGTGTTGTAAGGATTAGTTAGGAAGTCTAGGAAACAAGAAGGACTAACTGTCCAATTAAAGCACGATCGCATATTTGACAACTTTAACCTCCTTTGCAAAGTAGTTAATTTTTGTAGTTTGTTTATCCTTCAGCCGTTCGGCGGAGTCGGATTGCAAATTATTTTTTTTGTTTTAACACAATAGCGTGGGTGTGCCTGATTTGCGGTTTAGTATGTCACCTAACGTAAACAAAAGAGGGGAGAGGGAGGGGAGAATGGCGACGTTGGCACCCTTTGTTAAGTATGTTTACATGAAACAATGCTCCTTATCCCCTCCCCGCTTCATTCCCGCAAAGCTTTTTAAAGGAAACAAACTTACTTCCTCTTTTACATTATGAGCCCCGCTGAGTTTTCAGAAAGCCTGACCATGCTTGGGTTGCTTAAAATACTTTAAACATCTAGTGAAGGGTTGAATACATCACAGGAGGCTCAAACTCACATCTCGAGAAAAAGCCAATGATTAATTCATGAAAGCGTCACGCGTTGTGTGACTCGGGGATAAGTTACAAGAGGAACCGTTGAAAATTTAAACACGTTATAAGGAGTTGTACGAGGAACGAAATATGGTCGATTTACAACGATAAATATTTCGAAATAGAAAACATTTTACGCGTAAAATCATTAAAACTTACTCACATCCTGTGTGTCCGTTGTAGTTTCTGGTGATTTCTGCCGTTATAAGCTTGCTTTACTATTAATATTATAGTTTTACATGTTTTCTTTTGATATAGATTAATGATATTGTCCATTAACTGATCCAAGACTTCAAGTTCTCCTCAAAAGATTTAACCTCACAGGACTTCTTTGAATAAATGTGAATTTATTCACATGTTAAATTCACTGTCCTATTCGTGACTGATGCATGTAGAATATAGTTCCATTATTCACGAGGAGAAAAATAATTGAGGCAAAGTCATCTAGGTACACCTGATACAAAAATTAGCTTCCAGGTCTGCGCAATTCACACGCCCTAGAATTCAAAGTTCTTTCTATCACATGTATACGACTATATACAACACAATAAACCGATCTCTATAAGATATATTTCAGACACATGAAAAAAGCAATTGTAAGCTTTATGTACAGTTTGCAGAACCGAAAACATAAAACTATAAAGGAAACAAAAAATAGTCTACTTCTATCAGGTTACAGGAGACCACTTAAACTGGGAATGTCTCTTGCAAAATGTAATACAAAATAGAAGTGGATTTTGAGATCTTAAGATGAAATCGAGGAGCTACAAAAATATACCTTTTCTAAACTGCTTGGTCTTCTTGTTCAACCCGACGTAAACAGAGAAGATTACGAATTTCCAAAATGGAAAGTACTATTGCTATGCCATTCTTGGCAATGAAGATGGACTCGTCTTTGCCAAACATAAAGAACACCACCGCACGAATAACCAAGAATGGTAGATTAACGAAAACTATTTGAACAATACTGCGGTATAATGCGGTACGGAAGCGAATTTTTGGCCCATCTTTAGTGAGTTTGTTTTCTGCCATTTGCCAGGGAGATACCAACATGCTGAGGCAAGCCAACACGATCATTGCTGTACTGAATGCTTTGGGTATTCCAAAGTCGTGCTCT